GAAGAAGAAATGGTGAACGAGAAAGACTTCAAGAGTCAAATTGACAGGTTACTCTACCTAACTGCCACTCGACCAGATCTAACTTATGCAATCTGCCTGTTATCTCGATTTATGAATTCACCAAGACAGTCACACATGGCCGCAGTTAAGCATATCCTACGATATGTAAGAGGAACCACTGATCTGGGAATCCATTTTCAAGCTCACACAGAAGGAGAACTTCTTGGATACATGGACAGTGACTGGGCAGGAAGTGTGGAGGATACTAAAAACACATCAGGGTATGTTTTTTCACTTGGTTCTGGTGCATTTTCATGGTCGTCAAAGAAGCAAGAAATTATTGCACAGTCATTCGCCGAAGCTGAATACATAGCAGCAGCAGGAGCAGTAAATCAAGCTCAATGGTTAAGGAAAATACTAGATAATTTACAGATGCTTTCCACTGAACCTACGGTTCTCTACATCGACAATAAATTAGCAATCGCCATTGCTAAGAATCCGGTGTTGCATGGAAAGACTAAGCATATAAAGGTTAAGTTCTATGCTATAAAGGAAGCAGAAAAGGAGAAAAAAGTAAGCCTAGTACACTGTACAACAGAAGATCAAGTAGCAGACATTTTTACCAAGTCCTTACCGAAAGGTAAATTTGAAGAACTAAGGAAAATGTTGGGGATGAATAAAATTCTTAAGGAGGGGTATTTGACATAAGGATTTCATTTAAAATAAAAATCTAATTGAAATAAATTTTCGAACAAAGAGGTGGCAGAATGCATATAGAACACTAACACACATGTAGTTTAGTAAATATATATATATTTTTTTTTGTGTTTAAAGTTTGGTTTTGGTTAGGAAATACTAAAAGTTTAAGTGAAGCTGGAAAATAGAGTAGCATGCATAAGCATACTCTGTTTTCTTGCTTCTCTCTCTCTAAATTCTCTCTCTAAAATTACAGTAAAAATTGTGATCGGTTGATTCAAAATCTACAGAATTAATTAACGTTGTTTAATATATGTTTGTTTTTTCGTAAATAAGAATTTGGCTCAACATGCGAGCAGGACCTTCCACTTGAGTTTGTGAATTCTTTTAATGTTTTATTATTTCCTATGTTTTACTATTTATTCCATTCTGCTCTGTAAAAATTATAGGTATAGTGGGTAGTATTAAATTTTATGGACGAGGAGAGAAGTAAGGGTATGTACTAGAAAGGTTTTTAATGGGTAAAGTTTAAAGAATGAAGGAAATATTTGAATAAATTACGAAGCACATACGAAGCAAATATTTAATAGGAAACTAAGCATCACTACTGAAATTTAATATTTGTGAACTAATAAGTGAATGAATTTAATTAGGAAGGAATGTTAAGAGGAGATGTGTTTTAGAAATTAGATTGAAGAATTATTCAAAGTGTTATGGGTAAAAAATTATAATTAGAATTTTATATGAAGAAGGGAATTTAAATTGTTCTAATGAGTATAATTAGAAGAATTTAAATAAAATAGTGGATTTATTTTAACTTAGAGTCATTAAAAATACAGGAGATTAAATTGGGTTAAAACAAGATAATGAAGTTAGTAGGGAAACCTTAGGAATAATTTAATCATAAAATAGAAGCTTTAGTATGGTAATGAAATAAAAGTAGGAAAGAATTTTTAAGAACTTGAAAAATCTGTCTAATTAGTATCAATAAGAGGAGTGTTTGTGTGTGTGTAGCCAGTTTGGCAAGTGAAATATGGTGAAACCTACCCATGGATATAACCTCAGTCAGACATGACTGAGAAGTTTCATACATAGTCGTTCCATGATCAGGTGGTTGTGGAAAGTAATAAGTGATACTCAATGTATAACTATTTTGTATTCAAGTGCATTGGAAAAGTGAAAATGATATGTGATAAGTGATGTGATATACCCACATAGTAGATGAGATCTTTAATATCTTCGATGATACCGGTGGAAACGGCATCATACAATGAAATTATTTATTAGTAAAATGAAAAATGAATCAAAGTAAACCTAGAATCAAATATAAAGAATACGGAATCTAGAATAATTGAGATGAGACATTTAGTGAAGTGTTTATGCCCTTGAATGATGAATGATAGAAGTAACTATAATGTGATGTTTAGTGAAATGTTGTGTTGTAATGAGTAAATGATTGAAAGTGATATGTGAATGACGCAAGTAAAGGTTATTGAGAAATTTTAATGCAATGAAATCACTAGGATAAGGAAAAGTGAGAATTTAACTAGCGATTGTTTTTATTAAGGGAAAAGGTTTGGAGTAGATTTTAAATATATTCATTACTAAGACAACGAAGTTGGTTTACTGAATAAGTTAAACCTTAGACACCACGTATTTTAAGAAAAAAAGAGTATTTTTAAATTAGGTAGTTTTATGTTTCTATAAACTTAAATGGATTATTCAGCTATTTGTTAGTACTTACTCACTTACTGAACATGTTAAGATCGCCCAATTTATTATTTATTCTCTTTTCATATCAAAACTCTTAGGATCACACTCCTCAATAGTGAGGAATTGCTAAGAGATCTTTTTATCTAAGTTTAATAGAGACTTAAGCTTCTTTATTTCTTTTATTACGAGTATTTAATTTTGATATTAAAAAGGTCTCATGAATATTGGATATTGGATTTGACTTGTAAGGGATGTAATTTTTATTTTAAACTGCTACATAAGATTATATTCCCTAAATTATTTTATCATTCCATAGTGTGCGTTCGATTAGGACCCTAGATGAGAGTTCGGGTCTTTACAAACTTCTTGTCCTTACTTTTCTCCACAAATCTTGTTGTGGATTACAAATCCCATGCATATGTGTTTTTTGTGGTATTAAGGAAGAATATTGATCACATGTTTTTGCATTACATAACTTATTTGTTGGTTTGGAAAAATAATTTATCTTGGTGGGATGTTAAATGGGCTACTCCCCATAATATTTGCTCCATTTACAGCACCTAGAATCATAATGGTAACCCTCCCTGTAGCACTAAGATCATTAAAATTCTCTTTTTTGTTGTGACATGGTCTGTGGCTAGTTAAGAATGACAAAGTCTTCAAAAACATTCTCGTGGCGACTAATGAGATCATTGATGATTTTAGGGTTAGACTTTTATGGCGAATAAAGGCTTTTCATATATGCCCTTTCAACCAGCTCCTCCTTTCTCTAGAGATGATGTCGGGTGAAAGAGAATGTGATTATATTCTCATACTCTCCATCCGGTATGCCCCAGTTTCTGGTGAGCTTAAGTTTAATGTTGATGCTTCTGTTCTTGGAAAGCTTGGTGGTGTTCTTGGGGATGGTTTAGATTTATTAATTTTTTTTTTAAGAAGCATTAGTGTCATGAACTATAACATGGCTGAGTTATTGCTATCCAAGAAGTTATTATTATTTTTACAACTAATGTTTAAGCTTGGGATCTTATTATTATTGTGGAAAGTGACTTCTTAGTGGCTATCACTTGAATCAACAAAAATATTATCTCCTAGATGCTAAATCAAATTGTGAACTCTATTGTCATGATCTTTCGAGGTGTCAATCTATTCTCTCTATCCGCACGAATAAGAAAAACGAATTCTATGGTTGACTCCTAGCCATTACAGTTGTTCTAGAGATCTGCCCCTTCTTGCTTGGATTTGATGGGTTCTTTGTGCTAC